AAGTCATTACTTTAAAGTAGCAGATATTGATGTAAAATAGATTTCACCTTATAAACAGGTCCATATCCTCCCTCTCCTAGCGCATTTGAAGGATTAAAATCTTCTGTTGCAGCTCTCAACTCAGCATAACTGAAAGTATTTGGTCGGGGACCAAATCCTAGAAGATCTGCATATTCAAAAGAGAGTATGACATAGGTTTAAATTTCGAAACAACATATCAGAAGTATTTTCTCTCAAATATGCTTATCGACACTAGAAAGAACCTAGAACCTAGAACCGCATGCAGAATTAACCCTTAATAATATGCCCATTGCTCTTTTACCTTCATCGTCATTTTTTTATGATGTTTTTCTCTGCATATATAAAACTGCAAATAATAATAGCAAGATCACTACTCCAATGGGGACTGCAATACCAACTATCAACCAAGTCTTGCTCTTCTTTCCTGGAGTAGTTGGTGTATCTGAGCAATGAAACAAAATAATTGTTCAGTGTCAATCAATTGACAGCAGATAAATACATTTAAACCATTCATAGGAAATCTTCATAACTTGACATTATATTATATACCTGAAGCAGCATGGACAACCGATATTAGCGGGCCATAATTAGCTTGTTCGGTATGCAACATGTTCCCTTACCAGCCCAGAACAGATGAATATCTAGGTAATTCTCTGTCACATTAACCTTGAAGGGTCTCGCAACTGCTCTGTTAACCCCACTTGCCTCCTTCGATATGTCGGAATCCTTCCTTCTGAGGTTCCCCTAGGAAGCAAATGAAGAGATAGTTAAATAATTCTGTCTAATGAGGTTGCCTTTACTTTAATTAGCTTAAGTTTTTTTTTCTTTATTAGCAGCCTTACTTGAATATAGATATCCAATACACGCCTTCCTAGACTTTGCGAAGTTTGTGTATCGCGGCCAGCAAAAACTGTTTCTGCAAATTGCAATGTTACAATATAAGGTCCATTCTGAAGACCCATGACATAGTATCTCAGTGAACCTGGGGACACTCTTGAAGTCTCGAAAAGCTCTGGTGCCAAATTTGCACCTGAGACTTGCACAAGGGTGGTTTCCACAAATGATTGATTCAAATTATCAGAAAAACCCGCATTGCTAATAGCCCATTTCTGTGTACTGGTTACATTAAATGTTGCTGGGCCAAGAGCTGAGTCTTCAGCCTCATACAATATGCCATCATTTCCTCTCATTTGTGGTCCTCCACACTTGATTGAGAAGTTTGTATCTGTACAATTCAATGTAATAGCACAAGCTATGATTAGTGAAAAAACTTCAAACTGATGTAATAGCACAAGATATGCTTACTAGATTTATCAAGACATTCCTACAATATGTATACATAATGAGATAAGCAATGCCTATTGCTGTAACATGATCTTGCATTAAAGAAATAAATGCTAGTGAAATATAGAAGAAGATTACGTAGTGGGGTATTTCAACCACTTTAAGACTCAATGCTGGCAGTAGAACATACACAAATAGTCGAAAGATCAAAAAATAAGTCAAATGCAAATAAGATTGAAGTGAAAACTTTCAACACAGTTATGCAGTGTGTGACTCAAATAACAGCTCAGATCAAGGCAAGAACTCTAAGCTGTATGAGACTTCCACGCCTATGCTTCAGATCACAATGCACATATGAAATGCAGCAAACATAAACTCAAATACAAGAAACGAGGTCGGTTTTAAAAGTGAAGAATTCCTGCACAATCACAGAGCTAAGGAAAATGAAGAGGCAAATAATCAGGGGCTGATAATCATGATTAACTACATAACCTCAATGATTTTCAATCTAAATACTCAAAAGCCAAAAATACAGACAACAAATAAAAAGAAACCATGGAACAAACAGAAACTAAGAAAGCCCCTAGCATTGCACCGAATCCTTGTGAACACATGTATGATAAAATTTATGGATTTCCAAAGGCATTACCTTATCATAGTCCTTGTTCATTGCTTCCCAAATCATTCTTTTGAACA